GGTCAAATTTAACCCAAAATAATGGGGCTTTAAATAAAAGTATAAAATTGGAGGCAATTGAAACATGTAGTTGATTACACCTTAATTAAAAAGATGAAGAGCTGATTTCAACGTATTAACATGCCCATCTTTTCCGGCTCTGATGTATGCCTTCATCAGGGCATCATACATTTCCTTACTTCTCGGAACCTTAGTGTTCAATAACTTCACAAAAGCTTCTACTTCTTCAACATCTCCATAATCACCGAGCCAACTCAATAAGCTAGAAATCAATGGGAGTTTTGGCCTCCACCCTGGATTTTCTGCCTCTACAGCTAAAGCTTCCTTGAAGCACTCAACTGCCTTCTCCATGTTGTTCTTACTTACATATCCTGCTGCTATAATAGCCCAACTATTCGGAATGGGAATGGCATTCTTCTGTCTTCTTACTATGTCCCGTAATGCAGCCTCAGCTTTCTCAACCAACCCTTTTTGGGAATACCCAATAAGGAGAATATTTGGGACTCGGAAGTCAAAGGTTTGACACGATGACTCCCACTCCTTGAGTAACTCCTCAGCTTCTTCAATGTCACCAATTTTCACTAAAGAACCAAGCATTGTAATGTAATCCCTGTTGATTTGCTTCTTACAAGCAGCCTTCTGAAGCCTCCAGAATCTCATCATTTCATCTTTATTTCCAAGACTAGCATAGGATGAAATTAAATGATTATAGCCCAATGCATCTTTATCTACTTTCTCCTCGCATTTCCTCAGATAATGAAGTGCTTTTCCATTCAGACCAGATTTTATATAGTAGTTGGCCACCATGGAATAAGTAAGCCAGTCCATAGAGATGTGCGGTTTGCTCTCCATTTCTTGAAGAACTTTCTCCACGCCATCAAGATTGGATCTTGATGCATAAGAAGTCATGCAGAGTCTGTAGCTGTAATTGTCTGGGTTGATTCCATGCTCCTTCATCTCTGAAAACACTTCAGGAACCTTTTCAAATTGACCAGTTTTTGCGTACAGGCACATAATGCAATTGTAGTTGAGAGAAGAGGAAAGAAAACCCATTTCCCTCATCTTCTGTAAAATGGATAGAGATTTATCAATAAGACCTTCCCTTACATAACAATTTAGAAGAGCACCATAAGTCTTTTCCGTTTTATATTCATCTCTCAAGCTACTGAAGTAGCTCCCTGCAGACTCCACGCCCCGAACAGTACCAATCAGATCCAACTGCACAGCATGGTCACCTGATGTGAATTTGAGGTCATTGTTACTCATCCATTCAGAAACCTGCTCTGTTAGAGACACAGGAAACCCAAATCCTGTTTAACAAATCTATGAGAAATTTGCATATAAGAAAATTTCATTGTACGCAAATTCCATGGAAATAAAGACCTTCTAATAAGCACAATAAGTCCGAAGGAATATAAACATGAAAATGACTATATTCATACGCAAGCTTTGAAATGCATTTGCATAAACGCAAATTATGAAATGAAGGAGTTCAACATTTTTTTTTTTTTTTTGGGAAAGAGGGCAATGGACATGGAGCTCAACTTGTTTTTAAAGAATATAGCTTATTACACTACCTAAAAACATGCACCATCTGGCATCTGCTAACTTCCTAAAATCATAACCTATTCAGAGAACTGAAAATCATTTTAAAAAACTTATTTGTCAATCACATATCCATCCAAAAAAGAATATATGTTAGTTATAATCCAATTAACATTAAGCTGGTTTGCTTTCATTTCTTATCTACATTTTTATTTGGTCTGCAGGTCTTATGATCATGACAAATAAAAATTCCATGAATTATGTTAAGGAATTTTCCCCTTTGTCTCATTATCTTAATTTTCTAATAGATCTTCATCCTTTGGCCTTTTCTTTAATCCTCCATTTGCAACACTAATTCACTTTAACATTTACCATGGAAAGACTTGCTAGAACCAAATTCTTCTTCTCTGCTGCAGCCCCAATCAAAATCCCTTTTTCTAATATTCCTGAAACCTCACTAAATGATTTAAACCTAGAATCCATTTTCCAACCTATTTTCCTTTGTATCATAGCAACATAACATAATTTAAAAATCAACATAAACACATTTTTTATTTTTGAAACCTACACCTAAGATACAAGACACACATTTTCCTTGTTCATTATACTGAAATGTTCATTTTTTAAACCCAAACCAACCTTTTTCTTTGCAAAACCAAATATTAAGCTCCTTTTACCTAAAAGTTTCATCACTTTAATTCTCTTGGCAAATACCCCAGTATCATATCCTAAAAACAAGACAGCATTCTGCATAAAACTAGATTTCCTTATGCTTTCATTTCAACTCATCAATGTATTGAATCATCTATTCTCTAAAAAGCAATCCCCCCAAAATTCTACTTAACTTTAATATAATCAACAGTATATATCCTTAACTAATCTCAAATATTGACATTCAAAATCTGGACTTGATGAAAGAAAACAAGAACCCACATTCCCCTGCTTCTAATTTCCTTCTCAACATATGCGCTTTGCAGTAACCATGTGAACGTACATAAACCCACATAGACAACTCACCTCCAGAGCATGACCGTACCGATTCCGCGCGCGTAGGTCCCGGATGATGCGCTGCAGCTCCAATTCATTTACCCTTTTGCCTTCCTGAACCCACTCATCAAGAACCGGGACGACACTGACTCCTGGTTTTCGTAAAGGACTGATTCTTGCGAACAGGTCGTTTCTTTTGCTTGCGCTTGCAGGCGATGAGAACGTTCTCGCGAAGAGTGCATTGGCCGTTAAAGTTCGGGTCTTGTTTAAGACTGCAAACAAGATTTTCGGCGCCATTAAAGAGTAGGGGAAATGAGTTAGCGTCGAACGAACAAAAAGATTTAGGCTTTTTGGGGTAAGTGATAAATATACTGCACGCTAAAGTGCAGGATTTTAATTTAACCTCCGATTTTTTATTTCTGTTAAACCCGAGACAACTAGGGTTTGTTTGGCCCAGAGTAGAAGTGAGAGACTTCCAGAAGCGTGGGTGGCGAAGTTGGCTGAGGTTGTGTTTTATTATATAATTTTGGTTTAAGTACCATTTTGGTCCCTCAACTTTACACTTTGGTACCAAAATTGTCCCTCATCTTTAAAAAGTACCAAAATTATCCTTAAACTTTCATTTTTGGTACAAAATGGTCCTTCCGTCAGTTAAATGATAGGTGTCACGTTAACTTGCCAGCAAAATCACTGCTTTTTTTGAATTTTAATGATGTGTAAATCCAACGAACAAAATTTTGCTACGGTGGCATGTTTTTTCCACGTCAAATTGCTCTCCCTTTTCAGATTCAATTTTTGTGGGGCCCACATGAAAAATTATTTTCCTTTTCCAGTTTCAGTTGAGTTCCCGAAGGCCAAACAAAATCAAAGAAAGCAAAATTTTCTCAGCAACCAAACAAAAACAAACAAAGCAAAATTTTCTCGGCAACCAAACAAAAACAAAAAGGGATCAGAAATATTTTCTCAGCAACCAAACAAAGCAAGAAGTTAAAGACACAGAGCAAAGCACAATTTCTGGAAGAAATACTAGGGTTTGTTCCGCGAGGAACCCAGAAACTGGGTTCTTCAAGGGTTCCTCGCGAAACCCAGAACCTAGGTTCTTCGAGGAACCCAGGTTCTTCGAGGAACCCAGGAACCCAGAACTGGGTTCACACAAAGGTGACTCCTGCTTCTGTTGCGGAAGAATTGTTGAGGTCAACGACGGCGAAGACGACGACGATGGCGAAGACGACGACGACGGCGAAGACGACGGAGAAGACGACAATGCAGCAGCAAAGAAGAGAAAATAATCTAAAACCATGAAGGACCAAGGTTGCCTTCGGTCGAGCGATCCAGCGGGACACCCTTCTATCTACCCATCTAGAGGTTGCATCCAGACTCCAGGACGCCGAGGAGAGAAACCGTGCAGGCGAAGACCAGATCTGGGCGACGGCCGCCAGATCTGGGAATTCCAGCGTGCAGCTCGGTAGATTTGCGTGAGGGAGCAAGGAGCCGCGAGACCTGCAGGCAAGCGGGCAACACACAGAAACAGGAAACAAAGAAAACAAACAGAAAACAACCTCATGGGGTCATCGGAGCAGGGAGCAGGCCGGCTCCATCAGGCTTGAGCAGCCGGAGAACCTGGCGGCTCAAGCAGCAAAACTCGGAAGCCCAAGGCTTCTGAGCACAAAAACAACATGCCGAAGAAGACGATCAGAAGCCGGAGAAACCAGATCTGGGTTTGATCGAGAGGAAGAAGAAGAGGGGAAGAGAGGAGATAGAGAAAGAATAAGAAAAGTTAAAAAAGTGTCACGTGGGCCCCATTAAAAGGGAAAGTTTAAAAGGTGATAATATGATGTGTAAAAAACTATGCCACGTGTACAAAAAAATATGCCACGTGTACAAAAAAATGCCACCGTAGCAAAATTTTGTTTGCTGGATTTACACATCATTAAAATTCAAAAAAGCAGTGATTTTGCTGGCAAGTTAACGTGACACCTGTCATTTAACTGACGGAAGGACCATTTTGATACCAAAAATGAAAGTTTAAGGATAATTTTGGTACTTTTTAAAGGTGAGGGACAATTTTGATACCAAAGTGTAAAGTTGAGGGACCAAAATGGTACTTAAACCTATAATTTTTTTAAAAAA